CTCCTTCTTGACGGCTGCGTCTTGCTTTTTCGTCGGGTCTTTGGCGAGAAGAGTATAGGCCTCAATGTCACTGAAGATTTTATTCGTCTTGTTAACGTAGTAAATTTTGTCCATGATGACAGTAGCGCCACCCCTGTCAATAATAACGACAACAATATTGCGATCCGATTACAATGATCGTAACTCTTGCGCTTCTTCGGCCGGTAGTTTGCTGGCGTCTTCTTTGTCCGGCAGTTAAATCTCTGAGGTATTCACATTGCCCACAAACAGGCATCCTCATACGCACAGTACTATCGCGAATCAAGGATCCCATCCACAAAAGAACAACAAACAAACGTAACTTGTCGTATCTCGTGCGCAAATTGCTCTTTCGTGTATGTTGGCCATAAGGGTCGACACAAACTAGCTTTCGGTCGGCGAAACCCACTGTCTCTCGTCTTTGCCTATGCACCAGCGTACGACCACTGATTCAATTGGGATGGCACTGAGGTAGTTGCCATGGCTAACACAAAACGAGCGAGGGAATTTTATGAGCAGTAGTACTTCAATGCGGGTAGTATAGACCTGGATGTAGTAGACCTGGATGTGCATTACGAGGGTCTACGTTCGCGACTGACTGCCCCCTGCCCTAATCTCACATCAACGTCCGCGAATACAGCCGCATGCAACCCCTATATCTATAATGGTAGGGGGCGCTCACCGATCGTTCTTACGGAACTCACTCGTTCCGTTGTGCCTTACGGGCTCTCTCTCTCTCTCGAGCCCAACCAGCAGCCGCACAGCGGCGTATGATATAGGCAGAATGGTATTACCGACAAAGACAAGGGAGACTGGAATGGCCATTTTTGGCTTATTAGCCGTCGTCAGTCAGTCATACCCAACCCCGAAGTGTGGAACACCCGAGGCTCGAAGTCGCGACCTGTTAGTTAGAAGTCCACGCCTCTAACCACTGGGCCACGAGCATTGGATTCGATAACTGACGCTTACTGTTTCGCCGCGTTGCAGGGGCGTCTTAGGTCTCATGACCAGATGTCGAATTGTTGACGCTGGCCAACAGGCAATGCCGATCCCAAGTTGTTTTAGGAGACGGGAGATCGCCTCAGAGGCGTCGTCAATGTAAGGAAGCAATCGCCAGATATTGGCCGTTCTGTCACTGGACTACGGCTTGGCCCAGGCTGCCTGATGAAGTTGCGAGGATTCCTTTTCACCATGAAGAGGCGCTGAAGGTAGCTTAATTCCGACCATTTGTCGTCTGGCTCGCTGCAGTGTGTTTCTGCCCTTCACTATGGTGTCCGTACATGAAAAATAAGCCCGAAACAGTAATGTATCAGTCTACCCCCATTCTCTGTCATCTGAGATCTATTTGCCTTCTGAACACCTGAGGCCACCATTTTCGCCCACATCCACATACAGTAGATGTGCTAACTCATGAAATGTCAACCAAAATTTCGAAATGCGTTCTCGTTTCGAAAAGATAAGTTAAGCAGTGTTGTAAAACTAATCAAGATGCAGCATAAATCTATAATGATCCAGTTACCTCAGGGTGTCGGCTTTCGAAAGAACTTATTTTCGGTTGCATGCAAGATCTATACTCTGCAAAAAATGACTACTTATGTAGCATGCAATTTTCTCATTGATTTTCGATGCCCTTGAAAATTCAATTATATTTCATGGAAAACATGCATAAAAATATTCATTCTTTTACTTATTCGGTAGAAAATCACGTTTTCTTCCAATTACTTGCTCAAAAGAAGAGTATAATTCGGTTTTAAAAAAGTTTCTAATTGTAAGATTTTTTAATACCGTTAAATGGCCGTTCATGAAACGTCATGTGTCTGCATTTACGAATGTGGCTTGTAATGTTAACAATATTGCTCAAATTCACTGCATAATTTTATGAACCCCGTATGGTGTCTTTTTAACACCGTAGAGAAATGCATGGTTTTCCGTAAACGGAAAATATACAGCTTATGGTTTTGAAACCCAGAATGCAAGTGTAACAGCAGATCGGGTTCAAAATTATTCGGGAATTAAAAAAGTTTTTTTAAAACCGAATTATACTCTTCTTTTGAGTATGAAAGTGGAAGAAGACGACGTGGTTTTCTACCGAATAAGTAAAAGAATGAATATTTTTATGCATGTTTTCCATGGACTATAATTGAATTTTCAAGGGCATCGAAAAACAATGAGAAAATCGCATAATACTTAGTAGTCATTTTTTTCAGAGTATAGATCTTGCATGCAACCGAATACAAGTTCTTTCGAAAGCCGACACCCTGTGGTAACTGGATCATTATAGATTTATGTTGCATCATGATTAGTTTTACAACACTACTTAACTTATCTTTTCGAAACGAGAACGCATTTCGAAATTTTGGTTGACATTTCATGAGTTAGCGCATCTACTGTATATAAAAACAAAAGACGATCTCTGGGGGACGATGATTGTATTTTCATGACGTTTCAAAGACTGACATGCTTCCACCTTCAGAGATGATAATGGTACCGCGTCTCACAGCATTTCTAATTGGTGACGGTCGTGTTGGGATGGGTTCACTTTTGCAGTCAGCGTGGCAGGGAGGACGAAGGGGTGGGGAAGGCTAAAACAACAGTCATCATGCCGGCGGATGGGGGGGAGCGATGTTTTGACTTCGGTTGTCATCGTCCTCATGTACATACACAGGGGTCTTGGGGGACGAAGGAGGGCGCATGGAGGGGGGTGAGGGTAATGGAATGTCCTCAATCTAGGGGCCCTTCTTCGAGGTCGGCGTTAAGGCGTTGATGACCGTCGTCCGTACACCCACATTGACCTTAACTGTCGTCTTGTTTACGTTCCTACGACTGTCTTTTTTCTCGTCTGCCGGATGAGTGGATGATACGGCCGTAGTGATGTCTGTGTCTACATCGGATACGAATGGTGGTGCGGCTACGTGCGTATGTATCGTAGACTTGCACTTTTTTAGGTTCAAGTTAGGCCGGGGTTCGCGGTTTCTTATTCTGTTTGTTGAGTTGCGCCCTAGTGGGTTAGTGGGATTCAGGAAACGGTTGACTGCATGCATCAGGCTTCGGGCATTTCCTCGACCCAGAACTTCGGCATCCTGAAATGTGAACATGGTTGTGAATGAAAGATACGCCTTATTCTGAAAGTATCATTATAAAATTTTCAACAAAAAGACTTCCATTCACTGTGGACAAAAATGGGTACGTA